ACCGGCTGCGGAACCTACAGGTGACAAGGTGAGTGCTGGAAAATCCCAGTACAAATCTAATGGGATTTGGTGCATCAAGCTCAATGGAAAGGAAGTCGTTCGTGCATTTCGTTTGCAACTGGTGTGTGAATGAACTGTTTTGAAGGAATATGCATTCGATCATGCTCCAATATTTGTCATTAGGTTGTTCTGCTGGGTTTTCTTCAGGTAAAGCCGCACCCTGTAGTGCCAGACGAGAAGACTGAAGAGATTGCTGATTCATGTCTGAAAGGGCTTAATGTTTCTCCTAAAAACGCTTTTATGTCTCTTGAGTTTCACTTGGGCGCAAGAATTGTCTTCCTCGGTTGAACCAAGAATGGCTGTCAGGAAGCTGTCAAGCAAGAGCTCTTGCGCACCAAGGGTGATGTGGCAGCGGCACAGTCTTTATACGACCGTTGGATGGACTAATACTGTTTTGGATGTATATGCGGTGTGTGTACATTATACAGTCTTCTTGAATGTAAAATACATACATCAACTTTCAAGCTGTTCTGATCTGGTGGTATGGCTGTGCATGTGTTTGGATCTTCTTGTATGAATACTGATGCATTACCATTGAGAAACATCACTCTGAGGAACCCTTAGGCTTCAACTGAAACAACAGTTTTGGAAGTTTTCGATTTGAGTTTGACTTCGCTACTTTCTGAGGAGTCTATGCGCAATGCTGCTATCGATGTGCACTCAAAGGCTGAGGCGCCCAAGTCTGAGAAGCCCGGCGAGACAAAGAATGAAGCCTGTGATGATGAAGCGGCTGACGATCAAGAAGGTGAAGAAGAGGGCTTGATGGAGGAAGATGCAATGGTGGAGGATTGGGGGGTTGATATTAAAAACGCACTATTGCATTTTTGTGAAAGGAATATGTGCTTTCCCATGATTTGTTTCTTGTTTTTTTATGTTGAAAGGACATCAATAGACGATGGTGGTTCAACAGAAAAGCCACAGAGCACTGCTTCCATGTTTGGAAAAAGCCCGTGTTGTTCCTTGCCGCCGCATATGATGACCGCAAGTCACCTTCTGAACATGATTAAACGCAGTGAATTGCTCGCAAACTACTGCAAGATTTTGGGTTATAAGTGAGTGGGTGTGGAAGATCCACAGCAGGGGGGTCATCCAATGGCTGATCAGAAAATCATGGGAACCTCGATCACAAAAGACCTTTTGTTTGCTGCCGCAATCTGATTGTTTTTGCTATGATTTCCCTCCCTCTTGATTTTGCGACCACCGACCCAGGAGCGCGATGGAATGGAACTGGTGAGCCTCCCGACTGCTACTTCTTCATGATCTCAAGTGAAGATTTTGAGTCAGAGCTGAAGCCAGTTAGTGACGCAGAAGATGATCGAATGGCCAGCCTTTTGCTGTGGGTATACAACTATTTTGTTCATAAGGTACCTGGTGACACGGTGGTATGCCGTGAAGAAGCTGTTTACTTTGTGGGTAAAGCCACTGTGGAACACGAACCTGAATGGTTGGCCAGGATCGAATGCTTTAGTGTGTGGGACCGGCAAAATGTAACAGTTACCTTCAAACTGACTGGCCCACAGTGAAGCCAACAGGCCAACACGTGGCAGAAAAAAAAGTTTGACTCTGGTACCCAAACAACTTCTTTGCACATGCCTGTGAAACAGGTGGCATGTCAGAAACATGTACACTTTTAAGGTGCTGTGTCAGCCGCTGCAATGCGTCAACGTCTACCCCATAAGGACTGGTGTTCTGTTTCGATCCCATCATAGCAGGCAACACACTCCAATCCGAAACTTGGAGCCCCGACCTTTGTCAGTAAGAGCTCCCGGAGTACACCACCACAGCGTGGCGAAAGCGGTGGAACGACGGTGTGTGTGTGTTGTGTTAGGTTGTGTGAGCACAAGGCCCCAAGGTGAAAAACGAACACCAAACACCGACACAAGGAAGACAGAATGCGTGTGCCTAAACATACCAACATACCCAACCTACACATATGCCCTATATTGAGCTTAAGTAAATAACCACAAACACTCGTGGGGTTTCAATAGAAACCTGACGAGGTAGCTCGCCATATGTTGTTTAAAGCTGTTGGCTGGTCTGTTGCCCATCATTGTCATTGAGTGACAGTGACCACTAAGACCAGTCAGTCAAGCACTGTTTGGCAGGTATCTTCCTAAGATAGCTACCATGTGGCGCTGACATGTCATTGGTCATTGGTCCACTCACCAAGGCCAAAACCCTGGATACAGACCAAGACCCCAAACAACAGGAACAAACAATATACAGTAATCATCTCCGTCGACGGCAAACAAGAATCTTGCCCTTGTCGCAGGCGTACGCCCGTTCCATGCCAATGCTAGCCCATTGCCAAGGAGAGAAAGGGCAATGCGTTGAGCGCCAGGGCATAGGAGGAGGAGGTACATGTTCTGTTAGCCCGCTTTGCTTTCCCACACTGCACAGGCGTGTTCAGTTTCTCTTCGCCATGTGCGCCAAGCAGCCCAACGTTCTATAGGAGTTCGCGGCGTTCATCAAGGTTGCGTTGAACGCCTGCCCAAGGGTCGGCGTAACCGCTACAAACATCATCGCGGTGGAGAACACGCAAAAGAAAACAGAGCCACGAACCATGAACATTGACATGTAACATTTGGTCTCAGAAGCAATCATTTGCTCCACAATTTTACTTGTAAGGAAGCGCGTGAATCTGAAGAAAATCAAACCCACAAGTTTGCGAGGCCGCTGCTGCAAAACAGCAGCCAACCCAGTCTCAGCCCTTTTTCTTTCTTCTGGATGTTTCATTTAGCTACCGCCCGCGTCAGCCGCACTTCCCTCCTTGCGCTTCTTGCAGCGCGCTGGTTGTCCTGCAAGAAGCCGGGCAAGGTTGTGGACATCTGCTAGCTCGTGGAATCCAAGGCCCATCGCGCAGTGACGTGGAACCGCTGTGAGGAGGACTCCGCCCGACAAGTTCCATCACATCCAAGAGCAAGCCAGACTCTGTTGCAACAAACAAGAAAGAAACCACCAGTTCTGGACGAGGCTGTGCTGAATGCCAAAGGGCGGAAAGACCTTTACATATTATATACATATATACCGAAACATATATATATATACAGATAGGGCGGGAGGCATTGACTCTTGCACCTCCTTGGTCACCTCCTTGATGTTTTCTGATCTTTCCACGTTCCTGAGTTTGGCGTAGGCTTTGTAAATTGATTTGTTGAGTCACTCAACTGAAGGCCTATGTTCCTGGACTGACAGATGAACGGACACTTGCTGAGTTAGTGAGGGCGGGCGAGCGTGAGGTTCGAAATGGAAACTCTGTGAGTTCCATCTACTGTAGTTATCTAACTTATAAAATTAACACATAACTGTTTACTATGTGATTTTTGAGCTTTGACGCAGATGATTGCCATAATTTGAATTTGATAGTTTGTGGAGTTATTGTGGGAGTGGCGTGGGTGGAGATTAACTTGTTCTTTGGTTTTTTGACTTAAAGTCTTTACCCATTCATCCATGAAAGGTCATCAAAGGGAAAGGGGATGGTGTAAATCATAAGCGAAGAACGAACACAATACGAAGACAAGGTACTACTGTGAGTGCCAATAGCTTCACTGTACAGACCAAGAGGGAAGAGAAACTGCGCAAGAAGAATCTGAGTAATGTTGCCATGATTTGCCTGGTGAGGGTAAAGGCCCATCAATCCTTTTGCATGTTGTAATTTCAGCAATCTTCAAACTTCAAGAAGAACACACTTGCAACCAGCAAACGTTGACCAAAAAGCAACGAAAGCTGCGCTACTTGAGCATGAGGCGAGCCTATTGATGGATTTGTTTGACAGGGGGTCGTCTTTAAAGCCTAGGCTAAAATGCAGATGCAATGGAGCAATGTCCCACAAAGGCCTTGGGCAGTTGTGTAAGGTGTTTTCCATCAGTTGTGTGGGTGTTGTCCATCAAGGATGATTTTGATTTTGTAAGAGTAGGCAGTTTTTCAAGCAAACATTTAGTAAAGGAGGGCTGCAAACATGGTTAAAAGTTATATATACATAACATGGAAATGATGCGTTCATATAGGGTCGGGCCCTCATAGACAGGAAAAAACAATTCATGAAGGGCAAAATTCCCGCATTTGCAGATGCAGTGATGGCAGGCCTAAGTTAGTTGAGTTGCAGGATCATTGCACTGCAACTGTGCGAAAACAAATTGCTTGAGACCCTGATCTGACTATCAGAAATCCCCAGCAGGTAGAGACGTAGGCAGTCAGCAAGTCGTTCAGCTGTCCGACTCCACAGTACTTAGGGGGTGTTTTCTGTCATTAGAGCTCAAATACGATGTTCTTCTACTTCGAAGATATGTTGTTGCCAAGCCGTAGCAAAAAAGAGCATAGGGATGTCTTGAATGGATTCAGTGATTTATGATTCTAGACCTCCAGAACTCTACATCTGTCTTGATCTCAAGAAGGTCTCTAGGAACTTGGAGGCTTCATATCTCTGGATGTCAGGACCTCAAGAGCTCTAGGCCTCTAGATCTCCAGATCTAGACCTCCAGCCCTCTAGCTCGCTCTGGATGTCTAAGCGTTCAGAATTTTTTAGACCTCTAAATGTCTCTGGATCTCAAGACCGCTAGACGACTTGACCTTGTGTTACTACACCTAGAGCTTAGACCTCTAGACACAGGGTTTGGGGTCTCTTTCCCGGATAATTGATTGTAAATTGTAATGAATGATTTCAGTACTTCATCACTCAGAATCCGAAACAACTAAAAAGTGAGCAAAACACTGTAAATTTAATACAAATGAATACCTTAAACAGGTAGACTGTTTTCTGGGGGTATCATGCACATGTCTTGATTTTTGGGGCACGTTTGTGATTCCTTTTCTGTCAGGACAGTAGAACATTGAAAGTTGCTACTGCGTGTTTGCCTCGATGTTTGTGTTTTTCCCTCCTCAAAGCAAATGGTGGGCCTGTTTACAGTCCAGCTTTCGCGTCAACTCATGAAGAAGCTTAGGATGCTGAAAATGCGCTTTGGTGTGAATGGCTGGGAGGAACTGTGGAAGCACAGGGAGCTTGCCAAGACCTTGCTTTGCTGGCCTGCAAGCAATTCAAGCAAAAAACAGAAAGGGTGCAGTTTCCTAACCACACGTTGTGTTCCAGGCTCAAGTCTGACAAATGCTTATAACGTGAATTTGTTGGCCACCATAGACAGGATAAACACAAGAACATTGGAACACGGTCAATAAGCCCTGGAGGACATCATGGGGATCGAAGAGGAGGTCCTGGTTGGCATGAAAGACAACTGGCCAATCCTGGAGGCGGAGCAGAGTGAAACAGAGACGAGTAAGCAGTCATTCTCTAGCCATGTCGGGCATCATGGTGTTGTTCCATTCTTGTTTGGCGCTGGTATTCAATGCGTGGCATGCAGTATGAAATTTTTGTTGTGACACTCGCCTGTTCAGTGTCTGGCCCTAGGACACAGATGGCAACGATTTTCCAGCACGTGATGATGGCTTCAGCAAAAAGATCGCAGTGGAAAGGCGGAAGTAGCAGGGCAAACCTGTTGCCCAATAAGAGTGTTTGTTTAAGTGTCGGTCACTTCAGCTGCCAATGTTGCTTGTTTGCAAGGCACAATTGTCAATTGCCTGTGTTATTTCAACTGGCATGGACACTGCATTGCTTTACTGTGTTTGAGTTCTTGCTAGTTGTTTCTGTTCTATATTGCACGTGTCTTTGCACAGGCCCAGGTCTGTTGTTGAACCAAGATTTGATCAATCAACTCCAGGCTGCTTCCTACAAAATATTTGGGCTATGTTCATGGTACGGCAGCCAAATTTGCTCTTTCACGCGTGCATGGTTTGCAAAAAGCCCATGTGGTTTTCTCCCGCTTGGTTTGGTGCATATATATATATATATACATCTGGCCTGAATCTACCTCGCAACCTCTACTTTTCATTGTTTTGGCGCATTGGAAAAGGCTCTGACATGTTCTGACCAAGGGGTTGGATATAAAGCAGGCAGGGTGTATTGAGACCTTTTGGAGCGTTTCGACTGCCTAGGTGAATTGTATTTGAGCTTGCTTTTGGGTTCAATCGTTTACTTGGACCTGCTCACGATTATCTAATGTTGGTGGCCATACTAATCATCCTGGAGTACATAGAATCCGGAATTGGTAGAGTGTCATTGTTTGAAAGAAAAGAACTTGTGGTTTTGGACACGAAGACTAAATATGAAAAAAATGCCCATCGATCTACTCCTGGATTTTATCAATTTAATCGGTGTCCTCTGCCCTGGGATGGATTTGGAAGTTGCACGGCATTGATGTTCTCAGTGCAAAGCATATTACTTCATTGCAGGAGTTTGAAATGGGCAGGTTCAATGGTTTTTTTGGCTCTGTCACTTTCGTCAATCCTGTGCCTATTTGGTTCTTCCTTCTCCGTTTCGCTATCGGCCGTAACCCCTAACTACAAGTTGGCTTCCCTTCACAAATATCACCTGGATTCGTTACTGCTCCGTGCTCTCCCTTTTTGTTGATGGCCGTGATCCTGCATGGTACCTCGGCCGCAAGATACAGAAAAAATTGGTGTCCCCTTTTCTGTGTCTTCTCGCTTGTCCATCTCCAGTTCCTTTTCCTCCTCTCTTTGCTTGCCCTTTTCCAGCATGTCTTCTTGTGTTTCTCTTCCTTATCCTTTCTATTGTTTTGTTTTTCTTGCAGCCGACCACTTCTAATACGTCGTACTGTGCACCATGGGCAGAACAAAGTGAAGGGAAAAGGGGGAAAGGCGAGTGCGCTCGGCGGTTGGTGACACCCATAGACAGAATATTGGTAGAATATGTAAAGCTGTTACTAAACCGGCGGTCGGCGGTCGTTCTTATCTTAATCAGAGATTGAGGTCACATTTCTCTGACAACTATGTTTGGCCTTGACCTAGCTTTGACAATGATGTCATTCTACCCACTCCAGGATGGTTATAGAATAATATTGCCAGAAGGCACAGCGTTGGCCATGCGCCATGCTTCCGACATTGTTGGCTATACGCAAGAGTTCTTGCCACTGCTGTCGCAAAAGCAGCTCAATCATTGCACACAGACGAGCCCAGTAAAATGCTCTTCAGGAGGCGCACGCAACTTCATGTAGCCTGAGAGTCCATGGCTCTTGTTGCCGTACTTGATGAGGTGCGAGTCGCGGAGGGAAGCGAGTTGAGCCAGGTGCCCCAGAAATGTCTACAGTCTACAGAATCAGCAGAGGATAGAGCTGATATGATGACCTTACTTTGGTACTTAAAGTCTTGATTGACTGGAGAAGCTCTAAGCCCCGATGCAGGATTTGAAACTTAGGTTTGCAGAGGGACACAGTAGTGCTTGACAGCATGTGCAGAAGACTACAGAAAAGGTATGGACATCAAGGTTGGGAAACCTTGGGTTTAGAAAGTTCGCGCCGACGAGAGACAGCCATCAATCAGTGGCAAGAAAAGCTTGCCCAGCTCCACCCTCCATCAGATTGCTCAAGCCCAACTCTAGAGGTGCTTTACAGCCAACCCTGATCAATGAGGTTACCAATGCCCTTTTTGCGATGCGCCTCACCTGATCATTGTCCTCATGAACTCGCGCAACTCATATGGACCATTTTGCTGTCATGGAAAATTATTGCTTTCGGTGCACACAAGTGGCACACCACGATTCATAATACATAACGTGTGTTCTTAGAAGATTACGTAGCCTGTCCGCGACAATGCCGTCATTTGTGTAAAATCAAGACGCACACAAACATACAGCTGACAATTGCACTACTTCTGCGAGACTTCAACGCATAGAACAGAACTTTGGGGCCATGCTGGGCCGTTTGCCATTGTTGGATCCAAATCTTTCCAAAAAATAATTGGGCAATGTTCAATGACGTGCAAAAGACGCATGGAGGGAGCTCCGGGGTCTTCAGCCACAGTAAAGACTTCAGAGCCGATCGGTAGCAGGTTCCGAAGCAAGTTGGAGCAAGTTCCCAGAAGATCAGGAGCAGGTTCCGGAGCAGTTTCCAGAGCAGGTTCTGATCGAAGTTCCGGAACAACTTCCGGAGACGCAGTGTCTCTAGCCACGCCTTTGCCATGTTCGTGTGGCGCATAATGCTGTCACGCGGACGTGTGGACTCATTCCTACGGTTCGCTTTGCCACGCCAATTTGCCGCCGCAGTGTCTCACCTGCATGTTGTCAGACTGTCACGCTGACATGTTATCATGCCATGGGTCACGCAAACACGCTGTCCCGTGGAAGTGCCAAAGTCGGGCCACACGCCCGACGTATTGCCGTGTTTTTGTGCTCGTTTGGCACATTGAAAGGCTTATACACTTTTGAAGGCAGCGCAGTCTGGCCAAGACAAAAACTTGCGGGTGAACTTACAATGGTTCCACTGCCTAATTGGCAACTTCATGCCCAGATTGTTGGATATTTTTCTTGCTTTCTGCAAAAAAAGGCTCCCGTAGGTAAAGCTAAAGTCTCCAATCCGCCGCCGCATTACAGCACGCTTCGCGAATCAAACATACAGTTCAGTTCTGTTGATTTTCAAGCCAATGCTTTGGTTGTAAATAGGTTTGCAACTAGAAAAACGTAGTGGAAGTGAACAAGTGGTTCGCCGGTCATGCGCCATTCCAAGGTCTCTTGCCAGTTCAAGGACCGCTGCCCGCTGCGAGAAATTTTGGAAAATGGTGTGGCCATGTGTGGGTAGTAACAGATCGGGCGTGGCTTCGCTTGTAAAGCATATTGTGCGAATTATCTATTGGGTGTACGACATTTCAGAAGTTTGCCATTGCATGTTTTGAAAGGAGCAGTCTGAGATCCTCGCGCAACGGACCCGGAGGGTCGCGCCCAAGCCTCATTACGCAAAGGCAAGACACACCATTCAAAGGCCCAGATCGTGAGGATGATGGTAGTCCTTGACAATGGCAGACTATGGTAGACCAATGTTTCAATTGAGTATCATATGATTTGACAAGGGCCTGGTTTGCTTATATAGCTTGAAAAGTATATACTATATATTGTTGTATGTTCTGACTGATCCAACCATGTCAAAACGCGCTGTCCTTTCTGCAGAGGCCGCAATTCCTTCGAAAGTTCCAGAGCTGGCTCCGAGAGGCATATTTGCACGTATGTCCATTCAATTTTGATTTTGGGTTTGTTCAAGCGGGTCGAGGCAGATTCAGTGCTGATGCTTGGGTTCTCGTTTAATTGGCCGCGGAGCACGCCGCTGCTGTTCTGCAGCTGTATGTGGTCCAGCGGGGGGGCGCTGCGGACGACCACTCGGTGCAGCTGTGGAGCTGCTGTTCTGCAACTGTTAACTGTATGTGGCCCAGCGCGGGGGAGCGAGCGTTGGATGCGGACGCTGCGGACGACCACGCGGTGCTGCAGTGGCGCTGTAAGTGGTCCATGCGGGGGGGAGCGAGCATTGGACGCGGACGGCGCGGGGCACGCCGCAGTGCTGCTGTGGAGCTGCTGTTCTGCAGCTGTGTGTGGTCCAGCGGGGGCCGCTGCGGATGACCACGCAGTGCTGCTGTGGATGAGCGCGGCCACGCTGCGGATGACCACGCTGTGCTGAGGTGGAGCTGTTGTTCTGCTGTGGAGCTGCTGTTCGGCATCTGTATGTAGTCCAGCGGGGGCGCGAGCGTTGGATGGGGACGACCACGTGGCGCTGCTGTGGGGCGGTTCTGCAACTGTAGGTGCATGGTCCAGCGGGGGGCGCGGGCGTGGCGTTGGATGTGGGCGCTGCGGATGACCACGCGGCGCTGCTGTGGAGCTGCTCTGCAACTGTATGTGGTGCGGCGGGGGGTGCGAGCATTGGATGCGGACGCTGCGGATGATCACGCGGTACCCGGATCGCGCCGGATTGCTGTTGGATCGCGGATCAAGCCCAATGTCTCTGTGACGTTGCGCTGTGCCCAGCTTATGTCAAGAGCTCCTTTGGATGGCTCTCCCGGTTGATCCAATTCATGATCACTGTCATGAAAACGAGCGGCTGGAGTTTGGAAAGTCTCAGTGTCGCTGAAAATATTGTGTGGTTTTTGCTTTTGGCCGGTTCCCGGGCTCACCTTGTTTCTTGGTGGAAGTTTGATCCGCACTTTTTGTCAGAATGTTGATTTCATGGATCCGCTATCCTGGCTCAGCTACCATAATTGAACGCCAGATGGAAGCATCTGTGCAAGTGGCCTGTCCGCGGTGTGTGAAATGGAGTGAAAGGAATGAATGAATGAATGAAATGAAATGGAATGGAATGGAATCAAATGGAATGAAATGAAATGAAATGAAACGAAATGAAATGAAATGACATGAAATGAAATGAAATGAAATGACATGAAATGAAATGAAATGAAATGAATGAAATGAAATGAAATGAATGGAAATGAATGGAAAGCAAATGAAATGAAATGAAGTGAAGTGAAATGAAATGAAATGAAGTGAAGTGAAGTGAAATGAAATGAAACAATGAATGATTGAATGAATGAATGAATGAATGAATGCAGGAATGAATGAATTAATGAATTCAATGAAATGAATTGAAATGAAATGAAATGAATGAATGAATGAATGAATGAAAGAATGAAATGAAATGAAAAGAAATGAAATGAAATGAAATGAATGGAATGAAATTAAATGAAGGAAACGAAATGAAATGAAACGAAATGAAATGAAACGAAATGAAATGAAACGAAACGAAGCGAAATGAAATGAACTGAAGTGAAGTGATGTGAAGTGAAGTGAAGGGAAGTGAAGTGAAATGAAATGAAGAAAGAATGAATGAATGAAATGAATGAAATGAAATGCAACGCAATGGAGTTGAATGGAATGAATGAATGAATGAATGATTGACTGGTTGACTGAGTGAATGAATGAATGAATGAATGAAATGTGGTTTTGTCATGTGTCCGTTATGCTGTGTTTGTTTTGGTGTCTTTGCCGTTCTGTTTGGGTCATGCGTTTTTTTGTCTCAGTTGTGTTTTGGTCATGTTTTCGTGGTGTCTCGCACGAACAGGATGCGCCACATGTTGCTGGTAGTTGCACTATTAGGGTCATCGCTTGGGTTAATCATTCTTACTGTACGTTATTTTTGGGAATTTGGGTCTGTGGCGCAAAGGCTTGTGAAGTTCATGAATTTGCAAACACGCAAGTAGGCAAGCAGTAGTTGGTGTGTCGAAATGCGGCTTTGCGTTTGAGGCTGCAGTCTATTCCCGCATGTTCAATCTAGCTTGGTGGCACTGGTGCAGTTGACGCTAGCGCTGTTTGTGGTGAGTTTGCTAGCTTCAGTTGCACCTTGTGAGGTATTTTGGGTTTCTACTGCATAAGGTCATAAGGTGGTGCGCTCGTGCTCGCAAAACGATTTGTTTTTCACGAAAGCTACCTTTCGCCTTCTGAGTTGGTTCTTGCCTCAGCAAGCCAGGGGATGTTTGAGGCCAAGCAGAGTGATCTTTCAGTAGAATCCCCCTCCCAGTGGCAAGACAACGGCAAGCTGGCTGTTGTGTTTGCTCATCATTGATTAATGGAACGAGGATCACACAATCAACCGATTACCCTAGTTTTCGCGGACCCACGCTGGCCTCAATTTGTTGTTGATGAGGTAGTGGGTTTCACCACTTCACGTGACAGGTTCTTACTGCTTCCAAGAGCGGTTCAGTGTAACCAAACAAAAAATAGCGACAAAACGTAGGTTTGATAGTTTGTTCTACACATTATATAGTATTACTGTATGTAGATGACGTATATATATATATATGCTACACTAGAATTCAACATAATAATGCATATGTGAGAACCCACCTTTGGCGCCCAAGCTGTGAGAGTGAGCGCGAGCAAGCGTCTATATAGTTTTATGTGTGAGGGAGTTCTCTGCTTCTCTATTGGGCAGTGAGCTGCCAATTCTATTGAACCCTGTGCGGCATGCCGAATTTGCAAGTCAAAACATCCATGTTAGGGGTTTGATGTTTTGTGTTGCAATTTACAATGTACAAAGGATGGCAAGTCAAGGGTTTCTTTGTTCTACGCAGGGTCAGTGCCAGCTAGGAATCGTCCATGCATTTCATTACTTGTTTCCTCACCTTGCGATTCTTGAGAACAATATATGAACAAAAGACCAGGTTTTTGTGCTTTGATGCTCGAGTTTCTGTTGTCAATTGAAGCCGTCGGCAGGTCGGAGAGCCGACAGCTGGGAACCAAAGCACTTCGCGACGTGTGTTTTTATGCCCATTTGATTACATTTGTCCGAAAATACAAAGGCATATGGGGTATTGTTGATTTTCCGCGGGTTGAAATCACACCGTGGAGAGGTAGCATAGATTCGCTGGCAACTTGTTCCGTTTGGATCTACATGTTTAGCTTGTACGAGCTTGTTTATACAACGAGCTTGCTTCAGAAAACTGTTGCTGGCAAATCAACGTGCAAGGCAAACACCTCGCTCACACAGGCTGGGCAACATTGCGCGAGAGTTCTTACTGCTCCTGACGGCCGTGTCCGGTCAATAAAACACTCGGATTGCACGGTCTCCAATAGACTGCAAGATGCAGTATTGCGCTTCCTCACCCAGAGCTTCAATCACGTCCACAAACATTACAAAACATAATGTACAACCTGCGTCCCTTTGTATAACTTTAGATTGAACATGATTCAACAAAGCTGGCATGTTCTGGCCTGGCTAAAGCAATGTCAACCACCAGGATCAGTCTGATCAGTCCCCAGCTTTCGAGCTAAAGCAGCAAACGAACCTGTGAAGTGCGGCGCGCCTATTTTCGGGATATCCCTCCGCTTTCACTTCCGGTGGGTCAAGACATGTCAAGACCCAACCACCAAAACCAAGGTCGGTATGCGCTGGATCGTGGAATGCATGTCGCCTGAGAGTATGAGTTTTGACCAGAGTCTATTTTCGCCTCGACAAATCCAGAAGGCCAATTATGAGGAAGAGCTGCGAGCGTTGAACAGGTCCTTTAGAGAGATAGAATGCACATTCATTCAGTTGTAATTTGTATGACACTTGCGAATGCCTGCCAACTTGCAAACCCACAGTTCACGTGAGCGCACATGTTGCTAAGACGACCGCGCAACGTGGCAACGTGTTCCTGTTGACGAAGTATGACAAATCTGCGCAGGTCAGAAGAGTCGCATCGATCCTCGGCCTTTTCACATGGATCAGAGACGTCTAAGTTGATGACTCGAGCCCGGACACTCAAGCTTCCGGACGCAGGGCTCTTCGGAAGCTCAGAATCAAAGTAGCTCTTGCAACCTCAAGCATGGTCACTGTCACTAACAGTTAGTGACTAGTCATTGTTTGTGCGCGTGCGTGTCAAGGTATCTTGAGGGGTGCAGCAAGTTGTCCTGAAGGGCGGTGGCCACGAAGGTTAATGTTTGCCAATCGCTGAGAAAACGCAGCAAATCGCGAGGTGGTCAGAGCCTCCGTTTTAGAGGCTGGAGCGACAGAGGCGGTGTTGGGGCCACGTGTCCAGGGAATGCCCGGAAATGACCAGCGTGCAGTCAAAGAGTGAAGCCCTTGAGTATCCTTGAGTAGCATATGTTGAAGCTGACTTCTGGTATGATTGAGGCATATTGAGGCAGTGATCTTGAGGGTCTGGAAGAGGAGTAAGATATGTACAACTCTGATTTTTTCCTTTTTGCATCATGAGGGCATTCAGTCACTGAGCGTTTCGCCACCCGTTCACCTCTGCAGATCGAACTGGATCCAACAGCGGATCCCTTGAGCATTTGCACCTTGAGAAAAGCCACGCTTTTCATGTAGTTTTAGCCGTGGATTTGCGTTTCCACGAGTTGGCACCGGAGCCACTGACCCGGGCCTTGGACTATGCCAGTTTGGGGCGCTCGGTCTCCGTAGCTTCGCTCGTCAGATGGGATAGGCTGTTCGGGTTCATACTGGCCTTTATGACCTACCTCCTCATCGACTTCATCTACATGGACATGGGTGGACCTGGAAGGCTATGCCCATGAATGGCTACAGCCTGGACTCCCTCATGCGACGAAGGCTTTGCCCGCAATCCACTACATCATGGACAGCTTCGAGTACCAAATGACTATGCCCGTGATCTGGGAATGGCGTGGAGCCTGCACATGAGAGTCATGACTCATGGCATTGTCTGACCTGAAAAGAGCACACTTGGTCCGTGGTGGATGGAACCTGGAGGCGCAGTCTTTGCTAGAATCGCAGACGTCACCACCATGGTGACGACCCTGACGACCACGACGGCCATGGCCATGAATGAGGAGAAGAGACATCGCGGACCAGTGACCCGACAGTTGATCCCTCATGACCAGGATGACGCTCACAGACCTCATGCCGTCTGCGCAACGAGTTCCAAAGGCTCTTCGTCTTTTGGCAGCAGCAAATTATAGGCGCTCACCGTCAGCCACGGCGTTGGAGTATATCCCCGATGGTGAACCTGCCAACGCCCAATTTGTCCTCATGAGCCGCATCATCCAAGCTTGTTTGATAGCCGCCGGGTTATATGGACATCGACACTGCGTGCCAAAGGCCAACTGCTTCGCACCTCCTACAACCTTCACCCCTATATGAGATCACGAAAGACGAGACCTTCCAAATTGACTCAGGCGAGCCCATCGTCTCCACCACCTTGGCAATGCTCGCGGCAGCAGTGGAAGGTGCGCGCTGCTTAGTCTTGGGCGCGCTTGATTTGGAAGCTTGGCAGTTTGTCCATGTAATTGATGTTCCCAACCAGTTGGTGTTGTTGAGCAAGCTCGACATTTCAGTTCCTTGAGCGCTTGGACGGCGTCTTGCAATGAGAATCACATATAGTTTCCTCCCAAACCAGATCGACTTGCAGCTTGGGCAAAGATCACCGCTCAAGGACTCAGTGATCCTGAAGTGAACCTGCCGCCGTCTTGTGTTCAGGTTGCTCAGGAATTGAAAGGCGAGTCCAAACCATCTTTCGGACATCCTCATGCACCTCAGTGCGCAGCAACGGCGTTACCAGAGATGTCATCGCGAGTTCCCCTGTGCCACTCACAGAGAAGGTGTAAACAATCAGAACAAACTCCAAGTTCCTGCAGTTCCTGCATTCTTGCAAACAACTTATACCTAGGGACATTGTCAAAAGCCTTGCTTTAAGTCCAGGCTCAAAGTCGCTCCTCCAAGCGTCAGCCGGCTTATGGCGCCGCGCTGTCAGTTGGCCCGTGCTGAGACAATGTCGTGAGGCACGCGCAACGGCGTCAGACGCGCCCCTAAATGTGAGGTATGCGAATTATGGAGACGATTCAAATCACACATATCTGCTGCCTGCCGAGCCTCAGTCAAAATCTGTTGAACCCGAGTCTATTTTGCCTGTTGCGCGCAGTGAGCCCGACGATGTTGCGTTATGAGCTGCCGCGCCCAAAACACGAAGTTGAGGTCTGTCCCCACCACGCTTTGATAGTCCGAAACAGGTCCCATTTCTGAGCAGCCAAACTGTCAACCTGTCCAGTGTGAACCAGTCACGCCGTTTGAAGAGTAAAAGCACCCTGGAAGAGGTTGTTCAAATGAGAATGCGTCTGGTGAAAACAGCCACGAGGCCTGATGAAGAAGCTCGGTTAATTCCACTTGGATCGATGGCGCCACCTGGTGACCCGGCTCGTGGTTGTGAGCCAGGCATGGCTGACACTTCACACAGCCACCCGACTCAACATCCTGGACAAGGACGCGACCGAGCAGGAGAAGCCTCTGATCAGAGGCGCAATGTCAATTGCCAAGGAGCGAGCCAAGCAGCGCACCAGCAAGAGCGAGGCCAAAGCTTCCCGCCAAAGCCTCATGGACTCTTGCCAACGCCTGACGTTCAAAAGACGGCAATCGCCAGGGAAGCTTCGCGACTTGCCCTTTCCGCCGCAGGCGCGGCCCTAGGAGGGCCGAGTTCCTTCAACGCCTCCAGAGCGAAGTGCGTCCGGAAGACTTCAAGGAAGCATGGCATCGAGTTCGACCCCCTTCCATAACATCCTCAGCGGCAGGCCATGAATCGCGAGCGGAAGAGGAGATGCAAGACGTGGACCACGCCTCCGCCACTCATGGTCATCCCAGACTCGGACGGACTTTCTCACCCTGGCAAGCGTAAGAGACTGACAGGCAATCTCACCAAGGAGGTCTTCCTGCTTGAATCTGAGGTCGGCGCCATCAACAACCTGACAGGTGACATGGAGAAGAGCTTTGGAATCGATCTCATGGAACTATATGCGCCGGAACCTCCTTGCCGACTACAATGGCGCAGAAGTATGGTCTCAGCGCTTTGCAGCCCTTTGACAAAGAAGACGGCTATGATCTGAACAAGAGATCAGTGAAACAAGTGGCTGACTTCGCTTTGAACAAGTTCCGGCCACTCCTTTTGCTGATTGGTTTTCCATGCACTTTCTATTGCGTCATGAACGAGAACATGAACTACCAGCACCGCATGGAAGATCTTTTGGAACTTCGAGGTGTTCAGCGACCACTTCTGGAATGGATCGTGGCCAGGTTGCGACAACAGCTGCGAGAAGGGAGAATTGCAGCACTATAGAAAACCCACCTCGCAGCAGACTTTGAGGTGAACCTTCAGTGCGCCGTTTGATCGAAGAGTTCAACCTCTTTCTGGTCAAGTGTGATGGTGGCTACTTTGGCGCGACCAACCAGAAAGGCGAGAAGATCATCAAGACATACCAGGTCGCAACAAACAGTCAAACGAAGCTCTTGGTCATCAACTGACACAACAAGAGCGAGCTGAATGCGCACCACGACTTGATCGAAAAGCCGTGACTAAGTCTCAAGAGTACCCAGTCAAGATGGTGCAAGCCCCACTTCGTGCCCTCAAACATGAAGCGCGCCAACACTATACCCGCGCCAATTTCAGGAAGTTAATCAAAGAGGCAAAGAGGTCTATTTTGCCCAGCCTTCCGATGATGAGCCGACATGGAGACGCCTTCTTGACGAAGTGGGTCAGATCTTCATGAGAAGCCCAACGAGAGCTTTGACTCTGCAGCCCGGGCACGACCTCTATGACAAGATCAGTGCACTGGTCCCACGCGAGCTTGGCTGAATTCAGATTGGGTCGAAGCCTTTGACACTCACTGTGGAAGCTTTTGCTCCACAACGATGACACCATGGCCATAGAGGTTGAAGACACGCTGGTGAGCCAAATTCCAAAGCAGCGCCTTGAAAAGTCAATTCGGCGCGCAATCTTCTCCTACGGATTTGCAGCTCCTGACCAACCAAGAGAAGAAGAAGCCAGCGCAGAACCTCCAGTGCACCTACCTGGCAACACATGAAAGCGCCAACGCGAGCGTCATGACGGCTCTCGAGTACATGAAGTGTGGAACTTGCGAGCGCAATGTGCGTCCAACACAACCAAGAGCCGCGACTTCAGTTCACAGGCCAATTTGGTGAACGAGCGCAAGCAGATGTGTTTTACACCAGAGGTCTCTCACATTGAACAACCACCCGATCTTGGGGCGTTGTGGACATGGCAACCATGCAATCTGCAGCAAGCCATTCGGCTGGTCACCCTCAACGCGCAGCATGTTTGGGACAGCTTTCGCACCACTTGTGCCACCCTTTGCAGGCATCTTCAAGGAACACAGCGTTGCTGCAGAGGTTCACGCGGCGGTTGGTCCACCAGAAGCTCATCGGCGGATAGGGGCTGTCGAGAGGAGAAGCGCTGTTTTGCGGACACTGATTGAACGCCTGGGTGACAACCACGGAGTCACAGGTGGTGAGGGTATTGATTTTGTTCTGGTGGCTTCAACTAAGCTCATCAAAACTCGACCACATCGACCAACGGCCGCAGTCCATATCAAGCTGCGTTTGGCAAGCAGCCCCGCTTTCCTGGAAATTTGGTTGGTGATGAACATGCTCTCACAGTTGGTGAGAGATACTTGATGGGCGAGCAACTTCGAGTTCAGGCACTTCATGCCATCAACGAGATGAGGGCATCGCAAACCATTCGAAGAGCTATGGCAGCTTACTGGAGATGTGCCCGCAGCCCGCTGCAGCAGAAGCCACTGCAGAACACGCAAGCACCGCAGGTGCGCCGCCAGCATCGGCTCTACGCAGAGAGCACGGTCTTCCAACCGAGGACTTCTGGCAGAACACACCTTACAAGCTCATCCGGCATCGCGTGATACCTCGGCGTCACCTGTGCACGCCAGGTGAAGTCAACACCTTGCCGACAACGGTCAGCAAACTCTCAGGCAGCAGAACGACACGTCCTAACATGAACGGAAAAGATCACACCAATCCACAACACCTGGATCAGCAGTACACAACAACGAGCAGATCTTGGTAAGTGGTGGGCATGGAGAAGCGAGTGTCAAGGCAAGAGCGCAAGGCCATGGCCAGAGAGATCCCATGGCGCACGATCATGAAAGATGATCCTCGGGCGCTGCAGCGCTATGTTGAGGCCAACAAAAAGGAGCATACCAGAGCTTCCTGAACCTGAGTGATTTTGGCGGATCCCGCGCTGAAGAAAAGAGTCATCCCTGCCAGAAATGCCTACAGGGACAAGAACCGAGGCGCCGGTCTAACGATTGAGGACATCCTGGCAAAGTTCCGCCAGTGCTTGGGCGCTTGGATCCTGATTTGACCACACTGAATCGCACTTCGCCCACTCCTTCCAATTTCTCTGAAAGCCTCATCCTCCAGACCTTTTTGCAGGGCGTTGCTGAGGCTGTTCGGAGAGATTGTGGATGAGACCTCCGTAAGATGGCATTCAACAGCTCGCTGGCACGCTCCCGAACAATCTTTATTTGGCGCAGGGGAACTTGTGTGGGTTCGCTTCGGCTCCATACACATGGTTCCCAATAGACCGGTTTAGTTAAAAACTACGTTTTATCATGTTTTATCTAAATTCAATAAGTTTAGCTAAATCGTACTTCGACAAAGTTAAAATGTTCAGGAATAGCTAAAACTATGTTTTCACTATTTTCTCAAATTTTGACTAAAATGGGTATATCGTAAAAATTAGTGTAAAAGAGATAAATTTTTAGAAGTTAACCATTCGAAGTTTCTTCGAAACTTCGACGGGTGCACTTCGAAGTTTACTTGAAACTTCGAAGGGTGCACTTCGAAGTGTATAATCGAAGTTTCTTCCAAGTTTGATCGAAACTGCGAATGTTCCCAGCTATGGAATTGACCAAAAGCTTTTCATGTCCAAACATATCGCTTCGAAGTTTGACCAGCGGCGCTTCGAAGCCTCACCGGTAACATTTCGAAGTTTATTCGAAGTATCCATATCTAATACTACTCCTGTACTGTTTGTTGATTAGATTTTCAATCTCTTGCTAGTCCTTCAAGAAGAAGTCTGTTGTAGCAACTATGTGGGCCGGCCTTTCAACCGCCGATTGACTTAACAGGTCCACTTCGTGTGGCTAATTTTGGACGTTCGACTGTCACCCGCTCTTCAACGACTTGCAAAAGTGAACAGTTTTGAAAGGAAGAAGGTCTGAGTCTATAAGGCGAGTCACATTGGTTTCGTCGAGGATTCTAGAGGAAAAGGGTTTGTAGTGTAGAAACTTCAAGAAGAACAGTTGTTTGACTTTTGATTGCCGCTGTCCATGTCAGAAGGGTGTACCAACTTGCGGTCACGCATTGAACATACGCAGGTCCCTGGTGTTGAGACATCTTCGGAGCGCTCACCTCAAAATGTGCTGGGATTGGCCGCGCTCATGGCGCAATGAAACCCAGCGCAGCATTGCAGCTCCAACATTCCATTGGCTCACTGATTCTTTTTCGCCAGACGCCAGACATCTGTTCAGGTCCACTCAGCAAATCAGACCTATGATATATGTGAAAGAAAACCCTTCACGTGGAAGCAAGTTCCGGAGGTTCAGGGAACACATTGGAATTGTTTCTCGTGTTCACGGCCAAAGACAATGCGGGGGTAAGTTTCTCACCCAGGTCAGATTCAGACAAGCTGGACATCAGCATGCCTTCTGCACGGTGCTCGAGTTTTGTTCTTCAACGCAGTGTCGGTTTGCGTAGAGGCAGTTGTTGACAAATTACGCACGAACGAAGTCATATAGATTTGGGAATGTGGGGCCGGGGGGTGGCAAAACCAGAAGACTCCGGCCTAGGGTGGGATTGGGTTGTTAGGGTGGGCCTCAATTCCATCAACTGGGTGCTTGAGGGCTCAAAGGGGATCACCGCGAAGAGGCAGTTCAAAGATCCTTTGGGCGAAAGTCGAATAGAAGGAAGGTTCCCATTGACATTTAAGAGCCATAGCCAACGATAGCTGTTTGTGTTGCTGATGCTCTGCACAACATGAAAGACTGTAGTGTGTGTGTGTGTGTGTGTTTAGAGAGTTGAGAGGAGGATTGTAGAGGAGCAGTTTGGTGGTAGAGACATCTCAGGGAAGGAGGGCAGGCTGGGCCAAAAAAGGATTGCGAAAAAGAATCGGTGGAGGAAAGAGCTGCGAGGTGTTGCAAGAGGAAGATTTTGGAGGACAATGGAGAAGCAAACATGCATTGGAAGGAGCGAGAGTGTTGTTCTTCCTTGGCAACGAGAGGAAGGAAGAGCACAAAATCATACAAAAGCAAGGCTTCAAGCTGCCTCTCGTGGTACGCGATCGCCCCACGCCCCCGTCCTGTCGCATCTCAAATGGCAATGGGAGGAATTTGCTCGAACGCTGGAGCAGAGTTGGGTTCGCGCGTAATTCTTATGGGTTCTTTTTGTAAGGAGTTGAGTGGTCAGCGCTTGGCGCGTTTCTCCAATCCACCACACCGAAGGTGCTGAGGCGGCGTTAAACTGCAACCAGCGCGTGAATCGCTCAATAGCCTTAGCTAGGGGAATATTCTGTATCGTGAGCATTTGTCTGGGAGAGGAGAGGGAGTGGGCGAACATGAAAAAGCACATGGTTTTTATATATCACGTATGTATACTTGACTATGTTTATCATCGTATCATTTGCATCAGCAGGTCCATGACAGGCAAACAAACAACTCCTTTCAGCAGTCTATGACCATATAGCTTTCATGGTTGCATCATATGCATCAGCTGGTTGCAACTGTATCGTTTGTTATGGCGACATAGGCACCAGCTGGCTGCAATGGCATAGTTTATTGTACAAAATGCGTGCGAATTAGTATAAGTTGACACACGCGCACAAAATTCAAATAGGGTGAGTGATTTTAGAGACTTCTTGAATCCTATTCATCCATGTCATGCTGCGTTCGTGTCTGATATGAAGTCTTGTCTCGATCATGTGCATTGTATAGCTTATTGCGCGTAATCGCTCTATTGTTTGACCCCTTGAAAATGTGCATTTTTCAGGGTGTCCTTAATTTGCAGGCATTGTTGGATGTAATTTGGAGTTTGGCGCCCGTAAAAATGCAACAATTTCAAGCGGGTTGAAAAATATATCCAACGATGCTTGCATGTTGCAAGTAAGGCATAGCTACGCAATTTGTAAGAGGGTTCAAAATAGAGTGATTGTAGATTATATATATGTATATCTTGAATCTTGAACACTGACACTTCGACACTTACACTTACACACTGACACTTCCACCACATTTGCACTACATACACTGACACTTCGACACTTACACTTACACACAGACACTTCCACCACAGTGTAAGGGGAAGAGCGAAAGCATCCAAGTGCAAAGTATGCAAGTGCAAGTATGCAAGTGATGGGTATGCAAGCACGCAGTGTAAGTATGCAAGTGATGGGTACGCAAGCATGCAATGAGCACGCAAGCATGCAATGAGTAGGCTGCATGCAGGCTAAATCAAAAATATGCTCAGCCAAGTGCCACTTAGGCTTGGCATGCCAGGAACAAACATCATTTTCATCGTCTCTTTGAATGTGAGATTCCAATGCCATGTACTGGCTCTTCAATGCCCTTCCATATTTGGCCAGCTTCCTGCCATTGAAAGCTTCCACGTGCTGATAGACTTAGGTGGTGAAGGTGGCAACTTTGTGGATTGCTTTTTGCAGGCTGGTGCCTGTGTCAAACTCGTGTGCACTTGTCAAAGTGCTCAATATCCCCTGCCTGCAGGTTCAGGGGCCTTCCCAGGCTGTTTGGGCAATTGCGCACTGGCTGGGACACCCAACTCTGAGTAGATAGTCTGAATATGTGCCCACAATCTGCTTGCTTTTTCTGGCTTCTTCCCTTCATAGCAGGGCAACAAAGCGTTCAAAACTTGCCCTGCGCAGGCTGCACCACATCCTTCATCCATGACACGCGTCCAATCAGGGACTATGGTGTGGTTGGTAATTGGGCTCACATGGAAAAGTGGTGCTATGGCCTTTTTTCTCTATTCCAGGCTTGCCAGAAATTGGGCCTGGTCCAGGCTTTGGCTCTTTCTCTGATCTAATGTTTGGCATCTCCACTCACCTGGCTCGCAGGAGCACAGCCAACACGTTCCTACTTTGACATTGTGCATAGGACAGCCATACCATTTTACATTCCAATCCCAATCTCCTCGCATCATAACTACAACAGCCTTGCGCAGGCTTTTGCCAATTCTTGTCAATCGAAAGGATTCTTCGAAAGGAGCACCATCATGCCTCAATGCAGGCTGCATTCCCAATACCAAATGTTTCAGGCTCCAAGCAAGAACTTCCAAGATGGCCTGCGTGGTCTCTGGCCTTGCAATGAATTTGGCATCAACGCAAGTAAGGGGGACTCAAAGCCTTGAGGCCAAGAGGTTGACAGTGATGAAATCCAAGCTAGATTGGTTCATTCTGCCTTGCAGCACAGGCACTCCATCACCATGAATACCTAGAGGCACCATGCCTTGCGCAGGCTCACCGCAATCTGCACAGCACTGGGCCAACTTTGTGCAGACTCCAGCCTTCTCCAGCTTCTGCAGTTGATAGCGCACATCCTTCCAAGCTTCCCTGTCAGGTGCCTCATAATGGCCTTCTGCAGGCTGACTTTGGGCCTTGGCCCTGGCTTTGGCCTTGGGCTTGGCCTTGGCTACAGCTTTTGGTGAAATTTTTCATTCTGATTCTGGGTGCTTGGGGTGAGCCCCTTGCAGAATCCTTGGTAGGGGTGCCTTCCTCAGGCTTGTCTTTGTGAGGAGTGGCTGTCTCTTGCTTCACTACAATGGTGCCTTGTTCAGGCTCTGGTGGTCCGCCTCTTTCTAGGTGGCGTGGGTGCCAGGTTTGGTGTGTTTGTGCTTGTTGTGTGGCGTTGGTTGTTTGAAGGTGCTGGTGTGTTG